TGAGCTCAATTGCATATTGAAGAGCACATTCTAATCTATCAAAAAATTACATACAGCCTTCTACACCGACGACATCAGAAGATTTTCCCACGGAAACATGGTTCGCGGTACGAGCTCAACGAGGTCGTCGAGAAACCATAGACGATTACGACGTCTCTGAAACGCTGGTCAAAAGCCATTTGCATAGTCAGAGCTAGTGTCTCTAAGAAGCCATTCACCAGTTATCCGATTGAAGAAATTATGTAGCAGCTTCAGAATGGAGCGATTATGGTAGGCCTCCTTGAGCTCGACGGTGATCAGGGTGAATATCGCTTGAGGATTCCTCAACGGCACGTCGAGGATTCTCTGCCCGGTCAGACACGATCTCTCGCGCGGACATTCACACTCGCCATGGGCGTGCCGTCTGTGCTCTCCGCGCGGATGTTCACTCTCGGCACTACTCTCGCATGGTAGAGAGCTATGGTCGAGGAAATCCTCGACCGTTATTCACCCTGACGGTGATGGCAGATGACGTCATATTCTAGAGACGGTGGCAGCGAAGGTGGGCCTGATTCTGCTTATGGGGGACATCTAAGGAATAATTTCGCCGTATAACTCCCAATAACAGCGGCATCCTTTGCGACGAAAAGTTTGATGATATGCGCCATGGGCAAAGTGACTTTTTTGCCCCCCCCCTGTAGTTGGGGTAAGTGTGAACCAATTTGGTTGTGAGGAAATCATGTTTGATTTTGATATCGGAAGCTGGCGTTGCTTATGACGGTACCGGGCCAACTGGGTCACGGGGAAGGCAATGCTGGATCGCCACCGGCATATCCTTCAATGCGAATTGCGTGTCGGTCCGCACTCTTGGAAGGTCTGCCTGTCGTCCAGCTGAGATTCTACTTCTTCGACCTTCGTCCTTATCGTGTTATCCTTTTATATACTGGTTTTGATGATTTGATTGGTGATTTCGTTGGTGCTAATGGCTAATGATGTTGCAGATTTTATGACTATTGTTAATTTTTCTGTCAGAGTTATCGATAAACGTATTACTCCAAGCTCATAGAAGATGATCTACAACGTAACTTGCAGTTAGGATTTGAAATCGACACGGATTCGACAATCACACACAAAAAACACCAAAAGCGAGGCATTCGTGCAGCATTCAGCAAATGGCTTCATACTGAGTGTATCCTCTATCATTATCCTTCGTAGCCGAATGGAAAATTTTCCTCTGCAAACAGTTGCTAGCAATAATGGTAATCATTCTTGGTGTAAAAGGTAGCAAGCGTCGTGACTGTGCCGAAGTGCTTATCATTCATTTATCCCAAAGCAGCGAGAAAGAGAAGATTCACGTACATGCTCTTTGCAGAGGTCAAATTTTGAGTAGCTGAAAATACGGTTCCATAAAAAAGGTTGACTCAAAACGAACACAATCTCTGCTGGAATAGTGCAAAAGAAAGTAGTGGCATTTAAGAACATATACTTTCGATTGTGTGACTTGTGTAGTTTCGTCAATATAAATACTCGAAAGCCAAAAGAGGCAGGATTTACGCGAACACCACACTATTTTTGAAAGCAACCAATTCAGTGGACCATTCAAGGGCACAATCACTAACAATATGCAGGTACAATGCTGTGATAGAAGATACATGGAAATTGCTGAAAGCTCAACAGCAGGGTCAAGCGTGCATCAAGAAATCTCCAACGAGGTCCCGTTATGGATGGGAAAATGGTCTCGCACCAGGTGAAGAGTGCACGGCCTGTTCCTGAGCAAGTTCATCAATGCGAGACGCTTCACTTCCCGTTCCTTCAGTGGCGGGTGCGAGTTTGATAGACATCAAAAGCTTCTCGGTAGGGCCTATACTACTGAAGGAAAAATGCAATTCTCATCGTTCACTTCGAGAACATACCATCACTTAGGTTGAAACCTTGCACACTCCCCACCTGTTAAAGGCAAGATTCGGGATAAAATAGGTGTGGAAAAGCGTTCAGTTATGAAGCTAGAGGTGGGAGGTGGTCTGTAAAAGAGAAGGAAAGCAAACGAAACCACCGATTACGCCCCGTACAGAGACCTCCCCTATTTCAGCCACATTCCACCTTGGGATAGAGAAGGGCGCGTTGGACGAGTTTCACGAACCTAACTCTAGTTGCTCCAGTGCCAATAACATTGGGTCGCGATGGGACCGCTGCCTCAAATGCGCCCGCGCTTTTCAAGCAGCGCCACGTGGCAACCGACAGCGGAGGGTGGGGCTTGCGGACGAAGGTGTGAGTTGCGGGTCGGACGAGCTCCTTGCGCCTTTGTCGCGCACTTTCAAGCGGCAAAAGGGGCGCGACATCAACGCTTGTCCGCCTGTCTACTACCCCCGGGATGGAACAGGCGAGCGCCTAATCGCGGAGCGTGCCTTTAAGAAGCAGGAAGTTTGTGAATCCAAAACCACCTTCATTTTCGTACAAAACTGTCCATGAAAGAAGCTACGGTCGATGAGCGAGCGACAACGCAACGAAGGAAAACCTTTTGACGGTCACTGACTACGCGATTTGGTTGCCGATGATGTTTTTGCCCTCTCTGAGCAGATCGGTAAGCCATGCGCGATCAGGATTTCAGTGTAAAGTAAGATTGGTAGCATTCTCATATCACGAACGCTTATTCTTTGTAATTAGACTAGCCTAGTGATTCAGAGATCCGTTAAAAGCACGCTTCGGGATTAGGCGCTCCTCACCTCTTCGATCCCCGATCGCGGTATGCGGGCGGACGAGCGTTCATGTGTACCCCTTTTGCGGCTTCAAAGTGCGCGACAAACTCATTAGAAGTTCGCTCCATCCACAACGCACACCTCAGTCTGCAAGTCTCGCCCTCCGCCGCCGATTCACATTGGCGCTGAGAAAAGAGTGCGGCCACAGCTGCGACAGTGTTGCACTGCGGCTTAGTGGCGCGCATACCTTTCATGGCGTGAAGGGTCGTTGGGCTTATCTTCTAAGAGCTACGTAAAAATCTAGGGGCGTCTGCGAGACGGCGGTCGCGACACGGCTGTGTTACTGGAGCGCGCCAATCATCCACCAGTACTGTTTCGGCCGTTACGGTGACCATCGACTATGACATATGACATTCGACTGATCTCCGATTGACTTTTTTGTGGACTCACTTTTTTCGCGATGATAAAATACTGGCTATTGGAAATTATTTTCTTCGATATTCAATGTATTGCAACTTTTGTTTCGGCGCGGACGAAGTTCAAAACCTCGAGGCCACCTCCATCTATATTGACTTAAAATGCATCAGCACAATGTCCTTTACAGATTGCATAATTTGCAAAAAGGAGATTCAAGGGTTTCCCATCGTGATGTTTCACTGAAAATGGAAATAACAGCAGGGATGGGTCAAAGTATTGATTGAAATCTACAAAATTTTCGCTCTTCTGACCATCATCTTTCAGCTA